CTACCTTCACCTAAATGCTTTCCTTGTTGGTGAGTGGGGGACCACAGCTGTGCAGTGTCACCGTTAGCTATTTTAATTCCTCTCCTCCACTCAGCACTCCGCAACGCCCCTTATGTATTTACACAAACCCAGCTGCCATGTGATATTGGCTCAAAAGAAATATTACTTCTCCCTGTCAGATTTCATTGATGCTCATTATTGACTGGTGAACGGGCCTGGCTAGGGTACTGCGCCCCCCCTCAAACCACTGTGGCTGGGCTAGTCTTTATGAGATCATGCCGAGAGCCATTTAAAAACGTTGCCTAGCTACAAAACCCACAAGAACATGACGGTATTACAGGAAGTGTATGATTTCCCTTCTTAAATCTTCTCCATGATAACTGTGATATAGCTCCCATGTTACCAGAGTGTTGGCTGGGTGAATTTATGCTAATGTCTACTTTGTGTTTGATGTGACACATTCGAGACAGACATAGTAGGAGGAGAAGAAAGCTATTGTTTAATTTACAATGAACACCAGGCTTTCTGTGTTCTGTGTTCTGCTGTGAGTGCATGATGCAAATAATAGCCTAATAAGTTCTCTGTGCAGTTCAAGTCTGTAAATTGTAACACTGTTAGCATGTGTATGTATATACAAACATAAGTACATAGTATGTGATGATGTTTATTTCTTTGTTATTTTGCTTTTTCTCTGCTTGTCTCTGTGGAAAGCTAATGTGAGCGTTTACATTAATAATGGACATTGCCTGTTAAAGAGTCCTGGGAGATTCCAGGAAATTATTGATGACAGTGCGGCGTGGGGATTGATTGTTAAGTGGGCAAATTTGTCTTGCGTGAATTCGCTCCATTAGCCAGCTCATCCACCATCTGTCCTGGGGCGGGAGCAAGCAGCCGGGGGGCGTGGAGCCTGGCATCAGGATGACGCCCCCTCACCAGCCTGTCCCAGCGAGCCCTGGGGGCATGCTGCACTCTCTGCGGATGCCCCATTGCTACCCCCACTGAGAGGTCATGGACTGGACACCCAAAATGGACTACTTGCCTCACTGAATAATACAAGCTCTCCATCTGGTTGCTGTAATTTTCCATTAGTGAAGACATTGCTGTTGCATGTCTTGTATTCTCAGATCTAACAGTTGTATTTTTTTTTACGTTTCTCATATTTGCTTGGCACTCTCCTCCCAGCTTGAGCTGCTGTGAAAATTGCTTAAGCAGTTATCATAATGTGTATAAAATCGTTTAATATGGTAAGCTTCTTTTTATTGCCCACTAGTAAGCTCCCAAGGCTTGTATAGTAAGGGGGCAGCAGTGGCCAGATGCTGCATGATGTTTTAGTATGTACGTAGTATGTAGTAGTACTAAGGCCAGGGCCCCCAAGCATTACATGGGATAAACATGGAGGGTTTAGCTGATCCATATAGACCTCCTGCTGGACTTCCTGGTTTTGATGAGCAAAGTTAAGCCATTGGACCTTTATGGTCTTTTATGTGTAAAATTGATTTAACCCCGTCTTTTCCGTAGAGACTTACTTTGAACTGAACTGAGTATTGACCTGCAAATTAACTGATGAATGCAATACAGCATGCAAGCACAGCATGCAGTTTTGTGTCCATTGTTTGCATTAGTTAATTGTGTTCAGCTGAAGAAGTTTTCGTTGTAATATGAGCCTTGTGTGCTTCACAGCACCACTTTTACCAACTCTGCGGGTTGCCAAGGTGTCCTTCACACTCCTCTGTCATTCACACCTAACTTAAATGCTGTTACTGCATCAGCAAAGCCAGAAAAATACCCAAACCCTCCCTATTAGAGACTCCTTATGATGCCACAGTCACAAATGCCCACACATAATCCAACTACAAGTGCCAGCACCCTTCCAGACTAGGGTGGCAGACGGGATTTCACTGTTGGTTGTCTCTGTGATGTGTAAGTGGCCTAGCCAAAGGGAAGGGGCTTTTGGAAACCCACATGGGGATGCAGTCTTGGTCAGCTCCAGCCTAGCCCTGTCTGCAACAACAAAAAAAAAAAAACAGTGGAAACGGGCAGTGGAGGTCAAAGTTCAGCAGCCACTTTTAGGACCTCACCCTAAGGTGCCACACAACTGACCCATTCTCGCCTTACCCATTCTCTGTTGTAAAGGCTTGATGCTCCCAGACCAAACGTCTCTTCGCAGTAGACTTCCCCCTATTAAGCGCATAGAGGAAGACTTGCAGTATAATGGGTTGTTTTTACCGAGCTGCCCACACATGGCCATATCTCAGTGCAGCTCTGCTCTTAATTCAGCCCATCTAAACTGCTTCAGGGATACCAGCGCTCAGAGCTATCTGACCATGATCTGTTTCACAGTGTGTTATCATAGACGTTCTGTCATACATAGTGCATTAGATTGACTGACATCGAGACAAAGTGTGGGAGTTGTGACAAGCAGAGTAATTGTGTTTGTATTATCTGACTTGGCAAAGGTATAAATCCTTTTTTGAAAGTGATCTCAGTACAGGTTCTGGTAAAATGAAAGATTAACAAACGAGATTGTGCCAGACGTCTGTTTGACCGCATCTGAGGTTATTCTGAGAAGCTGCAGATGCATTTGGAGAATTGAATTTGAAAACTAGATAAATTACAGTAATCAGTGTTTGATTGCATTGGCAGATGCTCTCACTGTATCTCAGGCTTTTTCAGGTCCCATTATGACTCAGTGAGCTCCGACGGATTGTTATCGATTCCCCGTTACTGCCCTGTGCTATGGAATGGAAGGTCACAAGGAAAAATAATTGAAAGCAATCGCTTAGCCTTTCAGCCCCAGTATTATGCCCAGTGCATTTTGTGTGGCCCTCCCATTTACTTGCTCATGGGCTATCTCCTGAGCCCAATACTAGAAGATTATATACATTTCTCACTCCCACTGAGCAGAGCCGGTCAATATATATTCTCCACATTCTGCCCAGAGGCCATTTGCCCAGTGTAGCTCACACACGCTTGTAAGTGTATTAGTTGCAGCCGGCTGAAGGTCCTGAGACTGTCTGAAACGTCTCTCACTCCACGAAGGAGCTTGAGGGTGATCGTGTTTTGCAGTAATGTGTTGGGTAATCCTAATGCCAGTGTTACAGTGGGGATCAGTGCCAGAGCTCAGCACACCAGTAGCTGCAGTGCACATGGTGGCCCAGGCCAAGGCAGACAAGGCTTAGCTCACCTTGCACCCAGCAGATGGCTGGTGCTAGCTGCCATTCCTAATGAGGCACGTCGAAGCAGAGTGGCGAGCACTGTCTCTCTGCTCCTCACCATCCTCCTCCTCTTTTTCTTAAGCTGATTAATTAGCACCACTTTCGCTTACGGGCCAGGAAAGCACTCCTGCCGATTCCTCAGGGAGGGCTCACCAGGGAGGCCCACTCGCTGCCCAGCTTCTAGTTCTCACACTGGGATGGTTCGGTATGTGAGTGTATTAAGGAAAGAGAGATATTATGTGTGACTGTGTGTGGGCTAGAATGCGTTGGTGTGTATTTCTTGCTTGTGAAGATTCATGCATGACATTTAGAGATTATAAGAAATTTGTCCAGGTACCCTCTTCCTTAATCCTCTACCTCATTTCCTCTCTGTTTTTCAAGTCATGGCCACACTTGTCTAAAAACATATATAACACAGAAAATTATTGATAAAACATTGGTGGTCTACCAGATCTCACACAGTTGTTTGGAGTCCCATTTTCTGGGTAACCTTTAATAATTTGATAACTCTGATTTTGAAAAAGGAAAAAAAAGTTTTTTTCACTTGTTTTCCTTTGACATTCCCCTTCGTTGTGCAAGAGGATTCTCTTATATCTAACTTGAACATGCCTGTTTTGAAAGGAACTTAAATGAAGGATGTTCTCTGATTTAAGAAGTATTTTTTAAGCATTACTTTCCCTCTGTTCCTTTAATTATTATTAATTATTATTATAAATGATATAAAATTATTAGTCCTGTATTTGAATTTCAGTAATGACAGTTAAAAAAATCACTGCAGTTTTCTGTGCAACAAATGAATGTCCATGTTAATGTTTGGTAGCACAGTTTGTGATATGTACACACAGTTGGAAAAACACCCATGCATTTAATGATTTTACTGTATTATAGTTTTTTGTCTGAATGTTTATGTCTTTAAAGTTTATGATAATGGATGATTGATGGATGATTCATCCCATTGTTAATGTCCACAGCTTCAGAGCACTCAACGCTGAAGTGAAGACTACTTCTTTAGAACTAGCATCTACATTTCTATACTAGTGCTAAGGTCACCCTGAACATTTAGGCAGCCTCTTCAGTTCTTCTCTCAGTCACTCGTCTCTACTCACACAGGACCAGCACGGACACGCATCAAGGTCATTTTTTTCCAGAACGTTCTGTCGTTTCTTCCGTTCCTTTCCCTTCCCCCTCAAGACTAATTAACTTTTCAAACGAGTCTCTTTAATATTAGCCTTAAATAGTGTGGGGCGTTTGATGTTCAAATCCGATTGCTGGCAGATGTAAGCTAAGCATTTCATCAGTGCCACAGGGCGTCTTTTCACCCAGTGGTGCGGCTCTCGGGCTGAACAAAGTGCTTTAGCTATGCTTAAATAATCTGCAGTGCGGGAGGAGCCCAGGGATGAGACAGGATGCTTGGCGCAGTTTTTTAAGAGGACTATGAGGCCGGTCATGGGAAACCGAATCCACTGCGGCTCTGCTTATTTTATGCATTCACTCTGGAAGTGGGATGGAATTTGGAAATTTCTGCCTGCATTATTCGTTTCTGTGGGATGTTTCAGAGCCACAGTGGTAGCATTATCTCTCTGCGAGGGTGTGTGCATCTGCAAGCTATGTGACTGAAAAAGGTTCTAGCATTATCTGTGACGCAGAATGTAACAAAAACATTGGTGTGGATTTAAGCTGAATCAAATGTAACCTGCAGATGGAAGTTTCCCTGTACAGTACAATAGCTTATTGTAGTGTGAGAAAACTAATGATTAATAACACTCTCTCTCTGCACTTTCCTAGGCTCCGCCCACTAATATCATCCAGTCCCAAGAAGAAGAGAGCAGCGGTCCAGGTGAGGAAAGAAATGCCTCTGAGAGATGAATAATAAGGCTCCATACTGATAGCATGGACGTAGGGCTAGCCTCTGTATTTTACAGGCTTTGAAAACTTGTTGGTGTTTCCGAGTGAGTACTCTCAATACTACCCTTGAAAACAATAATATTTACACTTCATAATTAGCTATAATTTTAAGTTTGTTCATTCATGTCAGCTGTTTTTTTAATTAAAAATACTCTTTTTTTGTAACAAATGGTTATACTTTTATATATCCCTATTTTATGTTGCAAAGATGCTGTGAGAAGAGAGGAGAGAGATAAGTCTGACTGTATTTTTGCGTACCTACATAGCAGCAATGACACATTTCAAGATATAAATATTTGAAAGTCTTTGTTTAGTAATTTATTATCATTGTCTGTTTCGCTTATTTACTGAATAAATAACGTTAGCTAAATTCATATTCCATTGCAGCGGTCCAAGTTCAGTTCTATTACGAGTAAAAAAAAATCTTTGATAGACAAACACAAATCTCACTCAGAATGACAAATCAGGAAGTTATTTTAAAGTTGTAAACTAAATTTTTGTATATTAAAGGCTGTTATCTTTGTCCCTCAGCTCCACCGTGGGTAAACATGCGAGCGAGGATGCAGTCAGCTTCTTCAATTCAATGTCAAAACTATAGACAAATAAATTAGTGTGTTTTTGGTAATTTCTCTTTGTTTAAACAGTGTTTGCCATTTTAATGTCTTTCAGTAACTTTCCTTTCTCCCATCCTTTAAAGAAAAAAGTGACTTGAAAGGTGGAATTGAAGGGCGTTCAGCCTTTAGCTGAGATTATCTAGAGATTGGATGATTTTTTATAGCCTAAAATTATGTCCCTCATTATTGTCTCCCTCATTTTTCTGGTTTTATGATAAAATGTTTTGTTTCGAACAGTGATAAATAAGCCTTTAAACCTTAGCTGGGATGATAAAATGCATCATTATTTTATTCACCTTCTGTTCGACTTTTGAAAACTTTAGCAGGCAACATGAACTCACTGACCAATCACGATCGTCTCTGTGGTTGGCAACAGTCACACAAGTGGATTGGCTGTGTCCCAGCAACTAGAACCTTTTGACAAACATTAAAAAGAATTAGTTTGACTTCTGCTTTGTCATGGTTGGTGTTAGCATCTCCAAAATCAGCTCAAACTATAATATGGACATCCGAGTTGAATGTGGAAGCTCATAAAATTTCAGCTCCTGAATAAGGTGATGAAGCTCTCCGTGCTATTTTTGCTATATGGAAACTAGCCTGCCCAATGGGACTGTTTGTCCATTTTGTGAGGAGAAAAGGCCTTTTTTGTGTTTTTGTCATGGAACGAACAACACAGCAAAATTTCAAAAGATTCACATCCGGTGGGTATAAGTTTGATGCCAAAATTGTATCTGAATATTTCACATTTAATGTCATTTATTCACACCATGTTTGGTGTGTAACAGCCTTAACTATGAAGATGGTCAGGAATCTACTATTCTAAAGTGTTAACAAGAAATGAAGCTTCCGAATACTCAAAAAGAATATCAGTGTAATGAACAAACACAACCCTGCATAGACAGAAGGGTTAAATCAACAATATTCCTGTGAACAAATTGCTTCATAAGCCGGGGTTTAATGGGATTAAACAAATGGCATCAGTTTAGAATGGTGTGTGCTCTGTTTTATTACAGAGTCAGTACATTCTATGCTATCAGCTTGTCTGTGGTTGGAGGGCTTTGACCTGACGTAACCTACAGCCCCAGTTGAGCTCCGTGCTATGTCTTTCTCATGAATCAGATGATTCATCATAAAAGGCTGTAGCAGTGACCCTGCAAATGGCACATTATTCATGTTTATGTTTATTTGATCTGAAGTCAGTATCTGCAGTCATGGTTAGATGGTTTGATGGATTAGCATTTGAGCTCTGTGGCTTTTAGTGCCCTGCGTGTATGCCAAGGCTGTGATTAGGAGCCCCTCAGCCTGTGTTTAAAACTGATGCTGCGCTGAGAGAGAGAGAGAGAAAGAGAGAGAGAGAGAGAGAGAGAGAGAGAGAGAGGAAAGGGAGACGGAGGGGGGAGGGGTCTGTGCAGGCAGAGAGAGATAGAAAGAGCACACACAGAATGCTGGCGGGGGTCAACTGGGCCGTCGCTAGGCAACCTCCTGGTCCCGTCCTGGTTGCTGCAGAGCGGCTGCTCTGATTGGCTGAAGGGAGCCGGTGAAATGAATTGGGGTTACATAACCGTGTGTGTTCCTGCGAGGGAATCGGAGAGAAGTCACCCTCAACAAAGAATCAACAGCAACTGTCTGAATACCCTCTCCATCCCTAGGAAAGAAACATGAGATGAAAAATTAGCACCACTAACAGTCACTAGTATAACAATAGTGATAATAATAACAATAAATGTACAGAGCATACTTTTATACAAGTAGCAACTCAAAGTGCTTTACAATTAAGTGATAAAACTAAAATTTTAGAAGAAAATAACACAGATAAATAAGGTAAAGGTAAATAAAAGGAAACATTAAATATGTAATCCGCAGTAGCTCAATATAATAATCTTAAAATCTGCCGTAACTTTGACAGGATATCATACTATGATATTCAGTTCCAAAATGCTGTATATCCATATGTATATTTGTAGTCATTTTGAATACAAAGAGGTTTGAAAAGAATAGCAACTGATGTATAACACACTTCAGTGTTTCCCATGGGTATGAAATAAGCCTGGAGGGGGGCAATAAGTTGTGTATATTTTGCAGTTTCATAATATAAGTAATAAGAGTAAGATAAGAGCATTGAACCAAATTTTGAAACACCAGCAGCTGATCAGCTGGTGCTGTGTATAAAATGTTTTGGAAATTGTTAAAATAGGACAAAGTATACTTGGAGAAGCCCAAATATAGACTATGTGTGGGAAACATTGCAGTTTTATTTCTGTAAGGTGGTATTAATCATAATTCAGCGTCGTTCTTGTAAATGTCAAGCCCACTCCTAAGATTGTGTGTATCACATAAAATGTATATGTTTTCGGAGGAGGGACAACATTTGTGAAAGAGTTGTTTAACTTGTTTTGAATATAATTTATTTATCATATAAACGTAATTGTTTTGATGATTAATGTAATATTTTTAAAATGTTGTATAAAACAGAAAAGACATATATGCGTCTGTTTAATAGGGGTGCACCGATAATTTTTTGGCCACTTCTGATTCTGATTTCTTCGCAGCCATATTGGCTGATGGACAAATTTTTTAACAAATTTTTATTAGTTTTTTTTTTTTTAACCCAAGCTCACACTTTATGGGGTAAGTGAACACACTAGCACTTTTCTAGTACTTTCTGTTAGCCAAAGCACTACATAAAAAAACATCTGCATTTGCTGTTTAATGGGCCAAACTGGTATTTTAGATTTGTAAATGAAAAATTAGTTGTCTACTTAGAAAATATGAAAACAAGTAAATTGCTACATGCATCAACATTTTGATATACATTGCAGCCGCATTCAAATACAGCAAGTGCACCAACCTGCCTCACATTATTTATGTCATAAACTGGTAACACATATTGGTCAAAATTAAAGTAATAAATCGATCAATTGCCAATTTGGGTTTTGGAGCAAAAATCTCTTACTGCATCTCTTACTGTTGCTTGCGCTTGTTTATTTCACTTTCCCAAAAAAAAAGACCAATCAAAAAAATTAAGGCAGTTTAATTTCAGTTTACTTATCCTGAATTATTCACCTAGTCTAATGCATCAGACCTGTCTTTTCACATGAAACTTGAAGTCTCATGGCCTTCTGTCCCAGATCTTCTAGCCACCAAGCCTTTGTGTCTGATTGATCCCAGTTAGGATTGACCCAATCAGGGACTGACCCACAGGCAAGCTGCAGGCTGCCTTTGAGGCCAGCAGACGGGGTTGGTTCTGAAGTGGTGCATGCTTGGCAGAACCACTATCAGCAGAACCCTGCTGCTGCCTGTCCCACGGCAAGAGACCGCCTAGAGAGGACCCTCGTGCCATCTGAGCCAGCCTGAGCTATAATTAGCATGAAGACTTACATACACATATTCACTTTTCCACAACATGATAATTAATTAGGACTCTCTCTTCCTCGGGCACTGCTTCCTCTCTCTGATGCCTGATGGGAAGTGAGGCCTTGCTTCTGTCTTTTGTCTTTTTTCCATTTTTTTCTCTCGCTTTCTCTGTTTCAGTCTTTTCTTTTTTTACCGGTAGGAAAGTAGTCAGTACTGAACAGATAGCATATTTTATAATTGGCAGAGATCCCATGTTCCCACTTGTTTCTTTTATGTATTAAATCACCACTTTATGCCCCATCATTGATTTTATTGGATGTCTCCTCAGGGCACTGAATAATGGTAGTTTCAGCATATTGTTAGTTAAAGTAAGGCTTTATGAATAGAGGTCCTAGGCCAACACATAGGATACTGCAAGTCAACATAAATCTTACAGATGGAGCCAATGTTTCTGCCCTTTGTGATTTTCAGGTTATGCCTAACCCAGTGATGCTGCCTTTAGCAACCCCTGAGCCCCCTCCTGCACCTACCCCTCCTCCAGTGGTGGAAAGCGGCCCTGTTACATATGAGGAGCCCACTGAGGAAGAGGAGGAGGAAGAGGCAGAGGAGCCCTGTGTCAGCGCCATGGAGCTTATGGGAGGCAGCGGTCAGTATGGACACTACAGTGGGTGATAAATTCAAGTTAATGACTGAAGTCAAATTGAATATTTTGGCATTAAATTAGATTTACACAATCTTCTCTCACCCCAAATACAGTTTATCAGCCAGGTTTGGCATCTGAAGTTTGCTTCTTTAGTTTTGCACTGGAGCTACAAGGCTAATGTAGCTAAAAAGTGATGAATTCATATGTAGTAGTGGGCGATATACCAGTTCATCTTCTTCGTCATAAACTTTATACTGGTATGCCAAAAATAAGCATGGATATTGCAACATACAGATTAGCTCGTTTAGTTGAGTGGGTCAGTCAAGGATGTTTTAGTCACGTTTCAATGAAAATGAAAGCGCAGCAGTCCCTCAGATCCCACTGTGTTACAGACACTGAGATCCAGTTTGTTGTTGAGGGAGCAGACAAAATATGGAAGGAACAGCAGGTTTCTTAGGGTTAGCCTTTACTCTAACATGGACACCAGCCCACTTTCCGCACTTCAGTTTCCTTTCACACCTGCGTGTGGCACCACCTCCTTCGGTCAGCTGTATCAGATGATGCCAGAGTCTTGAGTCTGTTTCTTGAAACAAAGTGCCTCTCAGCAGCTACTGACAATGTGAATGACTTACAATAATTACAACATTCCAGCAGTCTAATGGTCATAGATGTAAGCACAAGTGTATTGGGCATGTATGAGATGAATGAATGAGAAATTTGAATGTGAAACAACATTTAGCACATTTCTTGCTGAGTCCAGAGAAGCTGCTGCATGCTTGCATGTACATACCTTTTATCTTGTCAGGGTTGGAACACAATATTGATGTCTTTGTTATTGTTCAGTTGTTTTTACTATTTTACATTTGCTTTGGTTCTAAAATATGATTCCTATTAAAAGTGAAGGGACATACACAGTACTGTGTAAATGTTTTAGGAATCTGAGAAAATTTGATATAAGAAAAAAAACAATTAATTGGGCAGCAAGCATTTATTGGCTCAGAAAAAAAATAATATTAAAATAAAAATTAATTATATAAATAGATTAGTGATTTAATGTATGTTTCCAAACCTCTGCTCCTGGCAGTCCAGAAGTTTTTGTAGCCATCATCCAACACCTGGTTTGACCCAGCAATACTTTATTTTGTTAAATCATGTGTGCTGAGGATGGAATTAAATAAAACTTTGTTTTTTTTAAGCTAGCTAACAAGATGTCTGCTACCTTTTTGAAAATTACTGTATTTGTATATGTTTATTTGCATCAATTCTAATGAAATATATTGTTTTTACAAACAAACCGTCAGGTGCCTGAAATTTTATATATATAATCCTGGGCAAAAAAATTGCCTGAATAGATTAAATCAATCTAAATAAAACAAGTTTATTAACATTGTCATGTTACTTTTCATCATTTCCGTTAGCAGTCTGTGTCAACTTGTGATAAATTACCTCATCCTTCTTCTTCTCTCTTAGATCTATAGATCACTTATCAGAAATCAGCCGTATTACCCAGCGGCAGTTTGCCAGCTAGTCTAAAACTCACACTTCTTTTTATTCAGATATCCCCAAATCCCAGCCCTATCATTAATCTTTCCTTCCCTTTCCCAGAATATGGCTGTGAGGCTGAAGAGGAAGAAGTTTTCTAGTCTGCACTATTTTTCCCCTTCTTCAGCGAGCGATGCTTTTCATCAGCCCCAGAACCCTTCCTTCCTCCCCATGGAGACAGGAGAACAAGGTTTAGACATGTGTGCTATTGTTGTTACCATGGAATATTCCTGTATCCCTACTTCTTATGCACCGGAGGACTTGTTCAGCTTCTGCAGCATCTGGCAGAGTGGAGGGACATTTTGGGGTTGAACGCAACACTTGAGCAAGACATGACTTTAAACTGTGTTTTGGACCATTAGCCTCACGTTAATCCAGCAGCTGCGCATTGCTGTAGTCACTTTCGGAAGGGATGTTTATCAGACCATGCCCATGCCTAAGAGGAAACCTAATAAGCCGTTAAGCATCCTGTTATGTCAGTGATATAGCTGGAGACTAAGCTAAAGCAGACACGCATTCATTAATGAAGTATACACCTCTGTCTCTCTCAGGGGGGATGGGGATTGTTCTCTCTCTGGATGATTTGTACTGCATCCACATTTGGTTTTAAGGTCATTCACTTTCTATTTATCAGTCGACAATACAGAAGTTTTGATGCTCTCTTTTACAGACCAGCAGTTGTGATGTGGAAAGGTGTTGGCATGTTGAGGTAAAATTGAGAACAGAGAAATATCTTTTTCTCCCTTTAGTTAATTACAGTTAGCCTAGCTGCACTACTGCAGAAGTCTCAGTCACGTCTGTGGCACATAAAGATATTCATGTTTCATAGTAGCAAAGATAAATTACAGTAGTAAGAACTATACTAAGTGAGAAGTTTGTTAGGTACACCTACCTTGTACCTACCCTCATTGACCATTTTATCTGGTACATCTTCTAATTGCTGACTAAAATACCCAGTAGGTTGTTAGGCTGAACACTGAGATGTAACTTTAGTAACTTTTGTACGGCATTAAATCTTTTCAGTGTCAGCTTTTAACATTCACAGTTCTATGTGTGAGACGTTGACCATGTGACAATCTACTGTCAACTATTTTCATCACACCAGGCCCAGAGGAGCTGCTATGTGCTTACACATACACATCTATCTATGTACAGTGCAGCTATGTTTTTACTATTTTGCACAATACAAATACTTCAGATTTTACCATACAGTAGTTCTGGTGTTCTCTGTTTCAGAACCCAGCAGTTGTTCCAGAAGCACTGGAGGGTTTGCTAATAGGTGACAAATATTTTGACCAAAAATGTGAATAGTTGTATTTTTTTGGTGCTGTTTTTGTGTGGTATCTTTTTAAATGTTATTTTAGGTTTTTAAACTGTAGAATATTCTCACATAACATAATCATATGCATATGCGTATAAATGTAAATATGTGTTGTTACATAGCCTTTTCATATTTCACTTGCTTCATTTTGTTGAAGGTATACTATTTTTACTGATATACACTGATACAGTGTAAGATGCCATTCTGATTGTGTTTTATATGTTTGTTCATTATGTTTAAACATTTTCTCCAGATCAATGTTAAATTTCAGTGAAATTTAACAGACTCTTTAATGAACAGCTGGTAACCTGAGTACATTCCTGTGTAATTAAAATGACTGAAGAAAAAAAACTAATTGGTAAATATTCACCCACCTGTCAGTTTTTAATGGTGTATAGATATGTAGATCGCCTGTAGCTCATTATTATTTTCTATTTGTTAAAATATTCATTATGTTCAATACAGTGCTGGATGATATTGTCTTCATTTTCCCTCTAGAAATCATTCTATCATCCAAGCATGTCAGTGTTCAAGTGAACTGTTGTAACATGTACAGATTCTTTGTTATACATGAGCTGTGGCCCGTATTATGACCGTTGCCTGTGCTCGTCTCTCATTTCTTCATCAGAAAGACGCACAACCACCGAAAAATCTCTTGGCGAGTAACACGAGATGAGCCACAGACCCTCAGGTGTGTGTATATGTATGCGTGTTTGTGTGTGAGAGAGCAGCAGATGGCCAGCCCTCTGTTCTCCACATGCCTCACACGTCTCCTTGCCATATCACCATCAGCTCTCGTCACCAGATTGCTTCATCAGTCACATGAACACATTGAGCCTTAGACCTCCATTCAGTAATGCAGCATTTCCATTCCATTATCAGGATGGAGGTTCATCCTGTGAATCAGTTTGTGCACCTGAGACCCGAGGAACAAAGACCGAACATCTTGAAGATGAACTCGATGAGTAATGAAGTAGCAAATCTGTTATTTCCTCTCTTATAATTGAGTTCAAATGCAGTTCAGATACAGTGCAGTACATTTAATTTCCAGTCAAAACAGCCATTAAGTATAAGTTATTCATTTTTCATCCTTAAGAAAAAGCAGAAAACATATTTAGCAGAAAATTACACAGAAGCCTCAACAACTAAATATAATGGCTATTTTTCAGTACTTAATGTCTCCACTCTTTGCCTTTCTTGCTTTTGGTTTGTCAAAGAAATAGTCAGGGATATTTTCCACATCCACAAATGCACAATCCCTGTACACTGGTCTGGGCTCTGGGGTGGTTAGTCCATTGTTCTGAGAACACCAGCAGCTTCTTTGTCTGATTTGCAAATGTTTTTCTTGTCTGTCAATTTTCTTTTCTCAGTAATGGCTTCTTGATAACTACACATCCTTTCAGACCCATTGCACTGAGATGTCCTTTCACAGTGGAGGGATGGACAGAAAACACTTGTGGACACTTGTGGATTTTTTCAGATCTGAATCAAACGTGGAGCTTGATTTTTCTCTTCTCCTTTAAAGAGGGAAGCTATAAATACTGTTTATCTAATGGTGACAGTTTTGGTGGTCTACCAGGTCATCCATGGTTGTTAGGAGCCTCATTTCTCCTAAATCTGTTTAAAAATTCCAGTTTTGGAAACTGCTGTTTTTTTCACTTTTCCTTTGACTTTCCACTTCCTTATACAAGTGGAAGATCTTATAACTATTCTGTTTAGAAATATGTCACAAAATGAATAATTTGTACTTAATTGCCATTTTGACTAGAAATGATATAAAAGAAGGATGGTAGTTTTGCACAGCAAATAGACAGGTGGTAGCTAGAGAACATTCCTATGTGTAATTAAAATTGCTGTTTCTTTGAGAAAAAAATCAGTATGCATTCACCCACCTGTCATTTTTTAATTATCTATGTAGAACCTGCAGCTACCTTGTTAAAATTACCCAGTTCCTCATCATTATGTTTGAGATTTGATGTTTCAGGCTTTCTGGCTTTGAGCATGAACTGCTCTGCACCTCGTGGAGCCACTCAGCCCTCTTTGTGTTTTGGATAAAGTATCATCTTTCTCCTAGGTGTTGGAATATGAGGGTTCAAACCCTCTTATGTGGGAGATTCCCTCCGTCCTGCAGGTGCTTATGTAGTGGATGCAGTTGATTTGCCTGCCTCCAGTGATCAGACCGCTGAGTAATATGACACTATAATGGTCTGGCGCTGCAGCACTGCTTGCCTGCCACTCACGTTTGATTTGATTTGTTGCTAGATACAGACTCAGAGAGCCCTTCCACACTTCAACTATATCAGGTTCACCTCTTCAAAGACCGTATTAAACAACTTGGCGCTCTCTACACCCTCCTTTCGCTCCGTCTGGCTAAAGCCTAGTCTCTGGTTTCCAGCCTCAAACTCCCACGCAGCACTCTAAGCAAGGTCATATCAGTCGTTTTACCATCTATAAGTGAACTGCTTTGGATCATGGGACTCCTTTTTCCTAATTAGCGGCCCTAATTGATTTAGGTTGTTGCAGCATTTCAGTATCGGGATGTACTTGGTGAGTATATGACCTAGTTTGATCTCTAGATATAGAGAATGTATGTTGTTCTTGACAATTCTTGCAGGTTTTGTGGAGTTGGTTTCCTAGTAAAGATTAAGCCTATTCCTGGACTACACAGCATTCAGAATGGAGATTCTCCATTGAAAGCAAAATGTAGTCCAGGACTAGGCTTTATCCGTGTCTGAAAGGCTGATTTAAGATGTCTTTCTTTGCGAATTGTCGCTGACGTAGGAAAACCTTTTATCTTGCTTTGTTCAGTTTTAAACCATCTCAAAAAAAACATTAGCTGCTCTTAACATTAGGTGAATCTCCATTCACCTAATGTTAAGAGCCGCTAATGTTTTTTTTAAGACGGTTTGATTTGATTGACCAATTGATTTTCTGAGAAAAAACAAGCCTTTTTTACATTACATTAGCAGATATGAACCTTAAAATGTTCTTTCTTATTCCTAGAAAGTTACAATTTTAGTGACACAAGGTTTTCTTAACGACAACAACTAAAGATTCATCATAATGAATGTTGATCTTGATTGTAGTGACAGCAGTGACTATGATGTTAATCATGATGATGAAGCAAATCTGATAATCCATCTTTTCTTATGCTACACAGTGATCTCCGCATATCTCACTGATCCCATGGCAGTAGCATTAGCCATACCCTCTGGATCAGCAGCGCTGTGAGGCCTGCAGGGCAAGAAAGAGAGATAGTGGGGCTTGTGATTTATGCAGTGTGACTGGCTTGTTCGTGCTTAGATCAGCCAAGCTTCCGGAGCTGTCCCCCTAAATCCGGGATCACTCGGCTGGGCTCAGGTGAGCGCATGCGTTCCACAGCCAAAACCGCCCTGACCTCTGCAGCCTATGGTCCAGTCAGTGATGAGGTAATATAGGGTCATGTTAGTGTGTGTATACGAAGAGGAGTCGCTGTCCACTCATATTGCTATCATGGCATGGAGCTGAACCAGAACAGGCTCAGGTCAGGAACAGGCTAGGGACGGGCCGAGGAGGCAGCCTTCATTTCTTCAGGATATCAGTATGTTCTGTTCATTTCTTTAGGATATCAGATATGTTCATTTTTCATGTTTGCTCTCTTTTCTTGCTGTCACTCTCAATTCAATACAATCAAGTTTTATTAAGTAGTTCTTGGTTTGGATGTACAGTGCAAGGACTTTTTTAATTGGTACTATTACATTATGTGGAGGTATTTTAAACTTTAAAAATGTTCTTTACACTTCAACATCTCATTGAAAGGTTCTCTAATGCACCGAAAGTGGTTCTTCTGTGAAATTGCTTCAAAGAGCTCTTTTTGGCACCTTTATTTTTAAGAGTGCAACTATTCAGAACTCTATTTAACAAGCCAAGAGAAAACTCCTAGCCTCACGGGGCCAGACATAATCCCGCAACAAGAACGTCTTGGGACAACTATGAAAAATTTTAGGCTAAATGTGGGTTAGAATGTAGACTTATTAGGGTGGGAACAAACTGAGTGTGACACAACAAGCCTGTTAGCCCAGAAATGTAACATATCTTAGCATGGCTAAAAAAAAAAAAGTTTCACCCTCCAAAAAAACTCCCAATTAAACGTAGATGTGAGCTGGGTTAACGGTGGCTGTATGTGGCCTCTGCTGTTCACATATGACAAAACTAAATCAAGCAGTGTTCCTGAAACATCCATTTTTAAGACTGAACTAAAGCTAATGATAGCGTTGCGCTACCTAGCTTCTTTTGCGTGTGTTATTGATTACTTAGGGTGTTAAAAGAGCATGGAATGAAGGAATTCGGGGCAGGTTTTAGAGGGGACATACTCTTGTTTGCAGTGGATTTCACCTCAACCCAGCACCAAAAGTTTAGCAAGTTGTCCCCAGATGAGTATTCACACATCTTTATCTGCAAAATTAAGAGGAACCAAGACTCTGGTTGTGCATAATTATAATGAAAGTAGTGCAAGTGTACATGTGAGACTGACTTATGTTTCCTCAGTGGATCTGCTGTCTAGCCCTGCATTCTGATTCGGCAAAAGAAAGGCACTCCAGACTTCCATTCGGCACTCTCCCTCATGGGAATCCCTGCCATCTTAAAGGGCATTCTCATTCTTAAGGGTCAAGGGAAATTTCTACTGGCAGCCCCTCAAAGCCTCGACTTGACTCAAGGGAGAGAGTCTACAAAACTGTAGACATCAGGCAGTGCCATATCCCAGTATGCATTTCACTTTTTCATCACATCTCTTTGGTGGAGCACCTCCCCCCTCAACTACTCCAGATACTTTCAGCTAATGTTATAAATGCATGTGGGATCATTTGAATGTTGTCTGTGCATGTGGAATGCTAACGATACACATTAGCATCTTATTATTAACAGCTTATTTTAAATTTTAAACATATTTGTTTAGTCAGAGTAGCAATAAGGGGAGACTGAAGACTGTGAGACTGGAGACTGTGGTTGGTATAGTGTAGTGGGTAACATCTCTGCCTGCTATGCTGTAGACTGGGGTTCAAATCCCACCTGGGCAAGAACTATACCAATAAAGAGTCCTTGGGCAAGACTCCTAACACTACCGTTGCCTACCTGTGTAAAATGATCAAACTGTAAGTTGCTCTGGATAAAAGTATCTGCCAAAGGCCTGAAATGTAAATGACATGAATACCCAAGTATATTTTTATGCATTCATTTACTTGCTCAAAATGGTAGATTATTACAAAAATCCATTAATTTTCCCCTTTGGTAGAACATTTTCTTTTCATTTCGAAAAGTGACAGCATTTAGAGATCACATTACTTAATTGGAAGAGTAAAGGCAGAATTAAAAAATGTGAGATACACCACGTCTTGTGCTTAGAAAAGAAAGCACAAGACACCATCACACTATGTCTTGAGGGGAAAAGTTAACTTTTTTAAACTTGCAGTTAAATATGCAGTTAAAAAACACTGCAGACTAGAGAAGCACTTTTCAGTCGTGAGGCATGTTGCTTCATAGACAACAGTGAAAAGAAGCACACTTGAGCGAGTTTGAAAAGGTGTCTGAACACCCCCCAAGATATTTTTCCCTCTGAATAAAGAGGTTACCTAACATTACCTTACCTTACTCTGACAGCACAGGGCTCTGCTAGTTATCTAAGCATAGCTTGGCTATTATCAAATTAACACAAATTGCTTGTAGGGTGAAAGTCGGTCATAATTCCATGTTGGCAAGTGTTCCAGAATATAAATTTTGAAGTGAGCACACTCCACTTCCCTCAGCAAGTCAAAACTCAAGTTACATGTGTATGACGCAGAGAGAGAGTTGGAAGAGTGGAGGGTAAGTCGACGAGAAAAAGACATGAAATTGGGGGCTAGGCTGTTATTGTGTCTGCTCACTGAAACAGCAGTAGATGCCCCCCACCATGTACTCCTGTAGTGCAATTATGTAATGCACTAAACCTCTCAGTGGCCATTCAGTGCACACAGAGCTTGTCAGGCTCTTTTCTGTCTGTG